CCACACCCCCCCACCTCCCCCCCAAATCTCTGCTGATGTCTGTCACAGCCGCAGTCCCTGGCGCAGTTCGGGCGCCCCAAAATCGACGGAGAGCTGAAGGTCTCCAGCACCGAGCGGCGCTCCAAGGTGGACAGGTGGGACAGGGCAAGGGACACCACGGGAACACCATGTGGACACCCATGGGGACATGATGACACCACGGGAACCTGGGGACACCCATGAGAAAGCTGCAGGGACACCCATGGGGATGTGGGAACACCATAAGAACATGGGGACACCCATGGGGACATGGGAATACCACAAGAACATGGGGACACCAAAACAACAGCAAGGGGACACCACGAGGAGACCCATGGAGACACCACAAGAATAAGGGGACACCCATGGGAAAGTTTCAGGGACACCCATGGGGACATGGGAACACCACAAGAACATGGGGTCACCTGTGGGGACGTGGGGACACCACAAGGACACCATGGGGACACCATGGGGACACCCATGGAGACACGGAAACACCACAAGAACATGGAGACACCCATGGGAAAGCTGCAGGGACACCCATGGGGACGTGGGAACACCATAAGAACATGGGGACACCCATGACATGGGGACACCACAAGGGGACACCACGGGAAGACCCATAGAGCCATGGGAACACCATGCAAACGTCACGTGAACATCATGTGGACATGAGAAAAACAGGGAGGTGGGGACATCCTTGGGGACATGCAGACACTACAGGGACACCATGGGGACACAGGAAAACAGAGCAGGGGCCACTCCAGTGCGGTGTTGGGGACACCTTGAGGCATGCGGTGGCCTCGGGAATCCAGCGCCACTCCCATCCCTGTCCCCAGGTACGGCTTCCTCCTGGACAAGGCCCTGATCCTCTGCAAGCGCCGTGGGGACTCCTATGAGACCAAAGACATTGTGGACCTGCACAGCCACCAACTGCGAGATGGTGGCCTCAGTCCCCACGACAGCAAGAAGGTACCCTGGGAACCAAACATCCAATTCTCAACGAACCTGGGTGTCCAGGTCCCTGGTGGCCCCAAGCACCCAGGTCTGGTGGGCCCAAGTGTCCAGGTCCTTGGTGGACTCAAGTGTCCAGGTCTTTGGTGGACCTATTGAAGCCTGGTGGACCCACGTGTCCAGTTCTCGGTGGCCCCAGGTGTCCTCTTCCTAGTGAACCCAGGTGTCCAGGTCTGGTGAATCCCAGCATCCTGGTCCTTGGTGGACACAAGTGTCCAAGTCCTTACTGGACACACTGAAGCCTGGTGGCTCCAGGAATGCTGTCCCCAGTGGCCTTGAGCGTCTGGGTGGCAGTGAACCCAGGCGTCCGGGCCCCACTGAGCCACACCCATGCCCGCAGTGGACCCACAGCTTCGTGCTCATCGACACGGCCAGGCTGCAGGGCTACGAGCTCTTCTTCAAGACCCGCGAGCTGAAAAAGAAGTGGCTGGAGCAGTTTGAGATGGCCTTGTAGGTGTCCCTGCACCCAGGGGTTGGGGAGACCTGCCTCACTGGGGGTGCAGTGGCCCTGGGGGGGCCAATTTGCCCCCACCAGACCCAACTCCCCCCATCTCTTGCCAGCTCCAACATCTTCCCCGAGCACGCACTGGCTGATGGGCATGACTTCCAGATGTTCTCCTTCGAGGACACCACGTCCTGCAGGGCCTGCCAGATGTTGTTGAGGTAGGAGCCCAAAATTATGTCCCCTGCTTTCCTGGGGAGACAATAGGGGACAGGGTGACCTGGGACATGGCGTTGCGGGGCTCTGGGAGAAGAGGAGGTCCTGGGTAGGTGACTGGAGGTGGGGTGAGGTCTTGATGGGTCAAGCTCTTGGGTGAGTTGAGGCCAAGGTGGGTCAAGCCTTCAGTGGGTCAAGGTCTGTGTTGGTAAAGGATTGGGTAGGTCGAGTCCTGGGTAAGCCAAGGCCAACGTGGGTCAAGTCTTGGGTGGGTTGAGGCCTGGGTGGGTCAAGGAGCTGATGGGTTAAGCCCTGAGTGGCCCCAAGGCCAAGGTGCGTCAAGGATTGGATGGAGGCTGAGGTAGGTCAAGGGTTGGGTGAAGGACAACAAGGTGGGTCAAGACTGGGGTGGGTCAAGGCATGAGTGTGTTGAGTCCCGGGTGGGCCAAGGCCAAGCTGGGTCAATCTTTGGGTGGGTTAAAACCGAAGTGGGTTGATTTTGGTGGAGCCAAGGCCAACGTGGGTCAGGAACCTGGTGGGTCAAGGACTGGGTTGTCCCAAGGCCCTAGTGGGTGTAGGATTGGGTCAGTCCTGGGTTGGGTTGGTGCCGGTGGGCTGATGGGTGTCCCCTCATGCTGACCATGACCCTGTGTCCCCCATGTCCTGGTGTCCCCCCAGGGGCACGTTCTACCAGGGGTACCGCTGCAGCCGATGCCGGGCCCCCGCTCATAAGGAGTGTCTGGGACGGCTGGGGACCTGCGGCGGGGGCGGCACCGGTGAGAGGCATCATGGGACGGCGGGGGACTGGGTCATCACGGGATAGCAGGGGAACGAGGCATCGTAGCACTGGAGAGCGGGGCACTGCGGGATGGGGGAGCAGGGCATTGTGGGACAGAAAATGGCTGACACGGAGCAGGGCATTTTGGGACACAAGATGGCCAACATGGAGTGGGGCATTGTGGGGTACAAGTGGCCAAGGCGGAGCCAGGCATTGTGGGATACAAGATGGCCACCATGGAGCAGGGCATTGTGGGATACAAGATGGCTGACGCGGAGCAGGGCATTGTGGGTAGGAGTGGCCCAGGTGGAGCAAGGTTTTAATGGCTGGCCCAGGTGGAGCTGGGTATTATGGGATGCCTTAACGATGGCCACCCAACCCCAAGGGAGCCTAATTAGCACCAGGCATTAATTAGGGCAGGGGTTAAATAGCGCCCCCCACTAACGAGCCTTTCCTTTTCTGCCCCACAGATTCGGGCTCAGGCACGAGGAAGGTAACGGTGAAATGGGTCAAAACGGGCTGAAATGCCCCAAAATGGGGAGCGGGGAGGTCATGGGG